AATTGCATTTCGTCATCGCATGTACATTTTGTTTCTTATTTAAGGTGGCTGGTACCAGTTTTCTCGCGCGAGGAGTATATCATCATCGTGCGTCATGCGTGAGTAGCGCGCATGATAGAGGCGCGAGATTTAAAACCCGAAAGACCAAAACAAATATGGCGGCGCGCGGCTTTTTCGCGCAAGATCACTTTTGTACTGTTGGCCGCGAAATTCGCTTATAAAGGAGGCTTTACTTCATAGAACAAGTGTAGTCAATTCTGTTTATCTAAGAAAAATTGTTTCGGGAATTCAATGTTTCCCAAATTTCATAAAGGACTCGCAAAGTGGATATAAATATGGAGAATGGACATACCAAGAGAAATTATTTGGCTTATTCTTTTTCGCCACATTTTATGGTTTGAATTTTGTTTGCTCGACGAACACTGCGTATGCAGGAGATAGAGACGACGAGAAACCAAACTACGACTTCCGACGACACAAAGGTTGCTTTGCCTCTAAACGACGAATTCAATCCGTAAAAAATCTCGCCAAAGCACAACAATGCCAAACTGAAGTCAAAGAAAATCACCCTGAAGAGGAAATAGACTTTGAACCTCCAAGAAAAATAGAAACGAGGTCACAGGTACGTTGTTCAAGCGCTGACTATTTATTGTTGCGCCGCTAACACTGTGGCAAACGTTGGCTCAAATGCTGCAAATCAGCTAGATCGACCATTTCCATTATACTTCCTTCCCGTTACTTTGTCTTTTGTTTTGAAAAATTAAATATCCGAAAATAAATAGCTTAGCAAATATATTATCGTTACAGCAAGCTAAACATGAAGGTGATATTTGCGGTACAAGACTGATTGAACTTCAAGTTCTGCGAAATGACCTGAAATCTTGTTCAAGCTGTAAAGAAGGTAAGTGTCTTTTGTGGTCTTCAGAAGTTTCTTGCAGCAATATTTAGCAAACCAAAGCAAAATAATAGTTTTCCTTCTTTTAAGAAAAATATCATTTTATTATTACCGGAGAAGTGCCGGTAGACTACAACATAATTATGTACAAGTACATCACTAAAATTAAGTAATCTTTAAAATAAGTGTAGCATAGAGTACCTTTGTATTGGTTTGAAAATTGTTG